TATCATTAGTTTATTTTCTTCTTTAAGTTTAGAACGTGTACATAAGTCTTATATACATTTAATTGGAAAATGAAAATAATTAATACACTTATTCAAAACTATTTTGACGTATAAAACACAGATAGATAATATAAGTACTTTTCTACTAAATAAATAATTTTATCTTTGTTTAGTTTTAATTATTAAACTTTTCTTTGAAATTTGTCTATATTTAAATAACTATAATTGTGTGCATGGATTAAATGTACAAGGTTATTGCACATAGCCCATATAGTTATCAAACAAAAATAAAATGGCAGCGTAAGGGTACAATCCATATCATTCATATAATATCATAGTATAGGCGTATAGCCAATATACGTTGTTCCCTTTAGCTGCTATTTTAATTTCTTAACGTTTTAAAATTATATAGTGGGGGTACTATTGCATTAACTTTGCATATTTAAGCCATGATTGTGTATTTCTATGTTTAAATATTGTTTGTTTTGTTTATTTATAATAACTTTGATGCAAGTCTTTCAACTTTCTAACTTTCTATTGAGTTTCCTTATCATAGTGGTCTATGTGTTTTATGTATAATCTTGTTACTTTATTTGTCTTGTTCTCTATATTTTTATAATAATTTGTAAGCTACTTTTAGATTCTGAGCGAAGCAAAAGAATTTATTAGTTTTACAATGTGTGGTTTTTTTTTTCTGTCGGTCAGCAACATTTCGGTTAGTAAGCATGCTTTAATTTTTGAGATCAGCATCTTCTTTGATGGAGAGTGAACCTAGTTGGTACTTTTAGTAGGTCCAAATTGAAAATTCCAAGTAGTTTTTGAAAGCTTCGAGAAAAATACCGACAAATTATATATACTATAGCAATAAATAAAAAATAATTATATTATAAGAACTATGCAAACTGCTCAGAATCGTTTTTTGTATGCTATAGTTTATCAATGTATTCAAATATAACATATCCATTACAACTACTGTACAACAGAGCAGGTACTGACCTACTTGTCCACCTTTTTTTATTATTATTATAATAACTGTCATAAATGTCTTATTTGTATTATTTTCAAATTAAATGATATTTAATTTATATTATTATATATAATTTAAAAGAACATTAAACTCTAGAAATGTAACAACTGACAGTTATAAACTTCATATTCTTTTAAAGTAGGTTTATTTCTTATATAGGTTTATGTATATTAACTTTAAATCAAGTTGTTTTCAGTTAATAAATATACTTTATTTTAATCAAATTCATTGATATTTGTATAAATATATTTTTTGTCATCTTTGACTTTAATAGTGTTAGAAACATCCAGATGACAATAATGATGTATTGTGCAAAATGAATGCCAAATGAACATTCTTGTTTTTGTCTATACGTAAAATAAACGAATTTGAGTATTCGAGTATTACCTAAATAATTTATTTGTATCAATATTTTTTGTTACACTGATGATGTGTACGTGCCAACTAATGATTTTCTCATCATAATTATGGTATCTTTTATCACTTTTTTGAGATTTTTTATAAGATGATAAATCTATTGACTTGGCTTATTAGTTGATTGAACCTAGTGGCGTTCGGGCATAGAATATATTATATTTAAAAAAAAATGTATTTATATATAAATTATATTTTATGGTTCGGGTTAGTAACTTCTGTAAATTGTAATGCTGATGAAAGTGTTTACACCTCATTATTTATTAATCCATTAGACTTTTTTTCTGCCAACAAAATTCTGAACATGAAATATATGATAGTATATTTTAATTCATGGTCATGACGACTATAACCTAGGTCTATGGGTACAAAAAGAAATTGTGTTACCTTCTATGCTATAAGAATTAATTAAATTGTTAATATTTTAATACCTAGGGTTTATACCAATTTATTATCAATTTATATGTTGATTAAAAAGAAATGTTATTTATGTTACATTTACATTTGTTAAAGTAAAATTTAATTTTAATGTAAAATAATTTTTTGATAAATTTTGATTTAATGCAAAATACATGTGTTAGCTTATATTTTAAAAAGGTATGATAATAAGTAGAGCTAGGAATTTTATGCATTTGCATATTTGTACTAAGTGTATGCCGTCTAGAGGTTAGGTTCTAAAATGTCCATGTCATATTCATCTCGCATTGTATTTAAACACCAAATTTTATATTGCATATTTTAAATATTTAGAAGATTATGAATGGTTATGGTTCATAAATGCATATTATAGCATGCATATTTAATGGCTTTTTAATAAATTAGCTATTTTAATTTAAGATAAATATATTTTAGTAATTTAAAAAGAGAAAAAAATTGTTAACAGTGTCCTACAAGAAAATTGTTAAAATATTGTCTTTTTGAAACACTTAGTTATCGAGAGTCCGAAATCCAATAGTTAGGTATTCGTGTAAGTTACAAAAGTGCTGTACGTTATATCGTTATGCACGATAGGTAGACAGTTGTATTATTTTATTATTGGTTAAATCGTATTAAAGATTAGTATTATAAGATGTAATATTAGTATTATACTATAGTGCCTTATGGGCTGGGCCCGTTTCACCACCGCGCGTACGGTATACATGTGTATTATATTATGTAAGTGTATATTGATTTCCATTATTTAAGTTCGTACTCGACAACGACCATAAAACGGGTCCTAAGATGTATGCGATTAATTAGATTCGACATTATGTATAGCCTCCACTATATTATCGCAGTATGTTTATAATATTACAATATTGATCGATTTTATATTATCATTATTTCAGTAAAAATACTGTCATAAGAATCCAAGAGGATATAAATAATAGATACCAAAATTCTCCAGCTACTGAAGTACGTGGTGAAGAGTACCAGAATCAAGGTTTGTTAATGTTAAAAAAGTTTACTTAGTTAGGCAGACTTAGAATTAAAAGATTTGAATGTGTTGACTCAGGGGTATTATTTAAATAATATACTCTTTTTCACATAAGAATGAACCTCTCGGCGACGAAAACTCGTTTTGTTCGCTCATTCCAGACAACAGGTGGAGCGTATGCACTGGCGGCGATCACCGGACTGTCGATCAAAAAATATTTTCTTTAAATACAGATAAAACATATTTTAGACAATACCAGTAGTTTAAGTTTAATATTACATACATTTTCTTAATTTAGTACATTAGTTTGTTACAAGTTTAATGTGGTTATTCCATTTAAGATTATGGCAAATTTTATACCTCAAAAATCTAAATTAACAGTTTAATATTTTTATATTATTATTAATGTTATTAACAAATTGTCTTGACATTCATGACTCAAATTATCATTCTTGTATATATTATGTGTACTTTAATTTTTACTTTATCTATATTTTATAACCTTCGCTAAAACAACACGGCATATTGCGTTATTGGAATGTTTTTGGAACTCTAATAGATGTTCCGTTGAAACGTTTCAATGTTAGTTAAGAATATTCCTTTTATATAATTGTAACTGTTATTTGCATGTTGGACATAACGTATAACGTTTGTATCACTTGTACCTTAGAATAATAATTTATTAAAAAATGATAATAATAGCTCATCTAAGTTTTGAGAGATTGTTATGAGGATATTCAATGTTCATAATTTAAAACATTTTTCGACAATACATGTTAACTATTATAGTCAAGGGCATAATAAAACTAGAGCTGTCTGTCATGTGCCCTAGAGTTATTAATGTGTTGTTGTATCCAAATCATAAATTCATAGTTTTTTTTTAAAATATATTATTTATTATATTTATGATATTTTCCATACCATATAAAATTTTCAAATTATTTGGTTATTTTTCAATTATTTATAGCTATGAGAAATTTAAAAAAAAATTAATAGGTACTATTGTCAATAAAAACTTTTTTACTTGATATAAAAGCTTGTAAATCGAATGCAAGGTTCTTCATAAATTGTATATATAAACCCCTATATAGGAATATATATTATAAGATTATAATTATTAATTTATGACTTTTCAAGAATATTTGTCTTAGGTATAAGTATAAAAAGGTATATTTCTGAATCTTTCAATAGCTAAATAAATTAAATGTTATTCTGGGTCGAAGGTAAGTTCTTTGTTAATTTTAAGTGTTCTCAATCTTTCGGCCAAAAAGGTATAACATTCTCAATCGTTCGATAGCCTCATAAATAGTTCATACTGTTACCAATCCAAAAAATATATAAACACTAAACAGTTATTTTTATATACATTTTAAGTTCCTATTTTGTTGTAATTGAAAAATACTGTCTGTGGGTATGTGAGACTTTAGAGTATATATTATTATATTTTATTCACACAATGACATTTTAAAGTATATTTTTTTGACATAAGCTAATTTAACCTACTGTTGTTGCCATACAAATAAATAAATAAATAAAACCTACTGTTGTACTAATGCGTAATAGTAAAATAAAATTCTTTAACCACAATTATATCGTCAAATATACTTGGTAATATTATAGGCCGACAGAACATAATTTAAAGTAATTTTTGACTAAATATTTTAGTCTCTCTTTAAGATTATCAACGTTAAATTTTTTTTTTATATCTAATGATAAATTGTTAATCAAATTTAACAATCCCATTAAAATGACCTACTCTATGATTAGTTACATTAAAAACCTACTATTTAACATTAACGAGATCTCAGTTTTTTCGTTTATCTCTTTTATGTACCACACCAAGAACTTCTTTTAAATTACACATAAGTAAGTAGAACAACAAATTGGTGTCGCAGAATTATCAATTTAAATTTTACTTCTAGAGGTTATTTTAATGTTACTTAATGTTGATATTTGTTACGTGTTGACAATAAGTGATAACCAATGATCGGGATAAGTGATATGCACTGTATGTATTAGTAGTAGTATTTTACGTTATGTATACGATGAAGTATAATTAGTTGTACATAGGATAAAGAGTAATATTATTTATATATAGGTTATTTGTATATATGTTTACATTATATTGAATGTCTATGTATTATGTTTTTTAGTGAAACAAATACTGTACAAAATCTTGGTTCTGCTACACATTTAAATCAATCTAATATGAATAATACATCGTCCACGTAAGTAAAATAGTATCTAAATATAAATTAGGTATATTTACACATGAGTTTGGAAATTGTCCATGTTTTTTTAACAGATTCTATTGTATTAATATAATAATATTATAAATTTGTTTTTCCAGAGTCCAAAATACAGTCAATAATCATAGTGATTGTGTTCAATCAAATGGAAGTGGACAAATAAAGTAAGTATATTATTATTATTAATTTGTAAAAAAAATTCAAGATGATTATTTTAAAACTTAAATATAAATATGTTTTATTAAAAGCAATTCATTTTTAGTTTTGTTATGTTTTATTAAAAATAATGCAAAAAAAAAATCATTCAATTTAAAAGGTTTTTTATTTTTTTAATTTTTATTCTCAACTGATGAAACAGTTGACTTGGCCACTAAAAAAGACAATACACCAAAAAAGTTTGTTGATATTATGGATTAGTAGACTAGAGTTTATAGTCAAACTTAAATGTTAAAATATAATATTTGTTACAGACAACAAATCACAAGACAAAAGGAAACTTCTAAGCCCAAAAAGGCTGCGGCTTCTAAGTAAGGCATAGTTATTTTCTTTCGTATATTGTGTATAGTGTAAAATATCCTTAATTTTTTATTTAGGAAAATGTAGGTAATAATTACCCCACCTTATTGTGCAATCCTAACTATGTTCCTGACTAGTACCTACAGATACATTTAATTTTTAAAAAAATATTACATTTTCAACATTTCTTGATTTTGAAGAATTTTGTCAACATTTTAATTTTAATTAAATACTTGACCTTATTTATATTTGATATATAATTGGTATATTATGTGCAACTTTATATTACATTTCAAATTTTTTCACCAACTAAAAATAACTTTTATAAAAATTGTGAAGAAAAAAAAATAAATTAAAAATGTCATAATTTTATATATTACAACTCAAAATTCTTTATCAAAAATTTAAATTTAAATGTATTTAAAATGCTAGCATAAACATTTGTTGAACATAATTTATTAATATTCGTTCAAAAATGATCTTCCATAGATACTTAAAATTTTCACTAAATGTTTATTTTATAATTTTCTGTACATGAAAATAGTTTGACTTGTTTCAAGGGGGCTTGAATCCATTCTAGGTAGTAAAAACTAGTCATTTTATGTTTCAGTTCATATGGGTCTTGTGAATGTGTTGAAAGTAAATGAATATTAGTGTGTATAATTTGTAGTACCAATGTAGTACTAATAACGTTGTATAGGGGCATCATGATAGTGACCGGCTATGTACGTCTGTAATTTTACCTACATGTCACTACGTATTACTTTATAAAATTAGAAACATGTTTTTTGAAAAAAATACTGTCAGTGACTTCAATCACTACACCCAGAAGAATGTTTTGATTTAAATTTTAAAAGCAGATTTGAATTCTCCTCTAAATTTACTATGCTTTGACTGTTGTACATTTTTCATATTCTATATCTCAATATATTTAAATTTGAATTATGAATATGATCTATTTTTTTATTAAATTTGTAAGTAAAAAAATTAAAATCTGAAAAATTAAATTGTCAAAGCATAGATACTTTAGTGACAAATTCAAATCTGTTTTAAAATTTAATATCAGAACATAATATTTTGCGTAGTGATTGAAGTCATGAGCTGTGTTTTCGACCGGAAGTTAATCATGCTCCAGCGCCCTTAAGATTTTTATGTAAAATACTTTTGTTGAGTCAAAACGGTTAAAAATTTAACAATTTAAGTTGCTCATAAGCAGTTATAATAGGTATATTAGGTATTTGAGAAATATTCAAGATTAAAAGGCACAATTTTATTAAAATCATTGAATGTTTAACATTTGACCAAATTCTTCAAAATTTCTAAAATTTACAAATTATTTTGTAGTTAAAAATTTATAAAATGTATAATTTTCATAGCTAAGGATTAAAAATATAAAACAAGGATTCCCATAAATATTTTATACTGTAACAAAAGTCTAAAAATTATATAATTCGATGGCATAGTGTACACATGTTGTAAGTGACATTTTTGTAATTGTTCAGGAGAACGACAATTGTAATTTCACATCACGCAGATTACATGCACTACAACAAACGCGTAGACCTCTAGCAGACTAAATATGTACTATACGCTTACAACATTTGTACACAATATGTAGAAAGTTGTCAGCAATACAGCCATGCAAAAAACTCATTTATCTGAATTTTGCACTTACAACATGTGTGCACTATGCCATCGATATAAACTGTTATTTTTTTATAGAAATTTGTCTTGCAAATAGATATTTAAATGAAAAATAACAATTTCATTAATTATTTTTGTAATTTTAAAATATTGATCCTGGGTATTTGAAATTTTTTAAATATATTATTATATTTTATATGAGTACATAATGATTAATGACATAGACCGAGAGCCTATAGAATGATATGCAATTCCTACAACTTCCGAGCCCTATTAATGAGAAAATTGTATTTTAAAGGTTGGACACGTCATTAACAAGGCCTAGGAGAGCATGTGTTATTGACAGAGCTGGGAGAATAAAGTACATTTTGATTTAAAGGATTCAATTGAACATAATTATTGTAATTAATAAGTATATATTTTTTTTCAGAACTGGTTTATGTAAACTAGGAAAACACATAGAGGGCAGAGATGGGAGTTGGAAGATTATACTAACTAATACTTCATTACCAATGTTTCAATGTCCAATTTGTGATACGTTTCTAATAAGTCCAGAGTCTCGCAAGACACATGAAGTTGAAAAGCATTATATGCTGCTTGAGTCTATACAAAAATATGTGGATATGGTATCTAACCCAGAAAATACTGCTTGTACTCAACAGGTATCCATTTTGAATTATTTGAAAATTTGCGAAACATCAAAATATAATACAACAGTAGTCGAAACATTGGCCAAAAGTACACATTTGTTGAAATCATTTAAGTTTTTGGGACCTAAGATTATTGAGTTGAAGTAGTTGGCACGTTACACCCGTAAGTATAAGACATCAATAAATTTCCATTAATTCTTTCTAACAGTAAATATTTTTTGTATATTTTAGATATGAAACTAATTTTATTTTTGCTTTATGGGCTCACATGTACACCAACCATCTATATCTAAAATGTGAATCTGAAAAAAATTCACCTTATTTTTATTGCTTTGTGTGCAATCGCTCATTAACTAAACGTGCAAAACCGCTCAAGCATTTAGAGGCTTGTATAAACAAACAAATGGAATTACCAGTTACCATTGTCCCACCCCCACCTAAGAGACTTCTTTGTGTATTTTGTGATGAAACTTTTGATTCATTGATAGAATTTGAAAAACATATTTGGTCTCATGCAAAAAAGTAGTAGTAGGATTATAAACATTCATATTACTTATACATATAATATATATAATATATATAGTATATCATTTACATTTATTGTATATATGCATATACAGTGAAACCTCGATAACTCGAAGGAAAACCTCCGCCCCTTTATTTCAATAAGTATACACAATATTTTTTGTAGAACTAAAATTTTCGATAACTCAAATTTTTTTTTGCCCCCAACTGATTCAAGTTATTGAGGTTTCACTGTATTATATAACTGACATAAGTATAGAATTTTTATTGTTTTTATAAGTTATAGTGTTAATCTATAAGATATTATAATCCCATTTTAATTTCACTGAAAGATAAACATATTATGCATTATTTTATAATGATTTATGCTATAATTTAATTTATTAAGTATGTTTCTGTGCTTAGAATAATCTTTTAGTTATAAATCATTTTTCTTTTCTTTTGTTTTAAGATTTTATTTTGTATTATTATTATTATTACTATTTTCTCTTTGTACACAAACAATTAATCGTGTATACTTGTCCTACTAAATTTATGTATTTCTAAATAATGATAATTATATAACTAAACTAAAAAAATTGTATTGAATAAAATCAGTTATTATCTTATAAACTGTTGAATGCAAATAAAATTCTCACTTTCATTCTACAAATTTAAAAAAAATATTAATTTTTTTATTCATAACATTTCGACTTTATAAATATTTTGATACATCATACTTTATCTTATTAATTTATTAATTTATAGTATGTCGTGATATTCAGATATTTCTAACTTGAGGGTGTTTTCCAAATTATTTTGAAAAACTGTTCGTTTACTTTTATACTGCAGTTAAAATATTTTTTATGTTATTAACTATCATCATTTATTTTTATTAAGTTTGCTGAAAGATAACTGATTTTTATATGTCAAAATGATGACTGGAATATTTTTATCTTGTATTATTTGTTTGTATATTTCTATTTAATTATTTATTATATTATTGATATGTTATTTGTTTTATATACACAAATTATTACAACATGCATAATGCATAAAAAAAACTATGGTTAATTCTATAATATTTAAGAAGTTAACTGATTAACATTAAACATATACATGTTATTAAAAAAAAAAATTATTATTTACTTAGTTTTGAATCGTAAATTTATTTTGGAAGCTTATTTTCAAACAAACATTAGTCTTCAGAGACTTCAATATTTGTCTTTTGCTAAGTCTTAGTTACATCTAGATGTGATTTATTCTCTAGCAATATTTAAAAGATATTATATATATAATAAGTATTTAGTTTTATTATTTTTATTTTTAAATCTATATGTATTGTTTGACAAGTTGTGTGAATGTATAAATATCTAATAATTTTATATATTTTAATTATTAAATATGTGTGAAAAATTAATCTAATTATTAAGAAATAGTTTGAAAAACTTTAGTAAATTAAAGTAATGAAAATTCAATTAGAATAGAAATCTTCCTTGTTGAATGAACATGAACCATTACAATGAAGTTAATTTTGTTAATATTGGTTCTTAATTTATGTATCATAAGTAAGCACACTTGTCACAGGTTATGCATTTATTTTATAATTAGCTTAATAAATATAAGTAATATGAGTGACTAAATGAAACTGTGTTTTATAAGTATAGTTAATATAATTAATTTTAGTATAGTTCAAATTAAATGTAATGTTTTTATTTTAGTCTACTCCACGTTTAAAATTAAAATAATAATAAATTTTGAATTATTTTCGAAGTTTGATACAAACATATTGTAATACATAATATAATGTACTAATGAATCACTCATTTAGTGGCAGTTACATGGCAGTTTCATGCTGCACTCAGCCACTTGAACTTTTATATGATTACTCCATGAGTTATATTACTATAATAAACAATATTCATTTTACTATTCAAATTAACTATGACTTATTTCAAATCATCATCTTTTGGATCCCTGACGGGGCCGCACGTTACAATAGCATTGATTACCTATATAATCAATGGTAAAAGTGTTAACCTTGAACAGTGTTCTGGAAGGCCAAAAAAGTGGCAAACTAAACACATTACATTATATCACCCATCCCACATGGTCTATACTAGTATATTATACATTTTGCAATAGTGCATAGTTGATACCTATAGAAAAATTAATGGTCACATTTTGCCTTCAAAGAAACTATAAGTAATGAAATAACCAGTCATCTACATCTGTCATAACTCATAACTGTACTTTGTCATAATACATATTGTTTTTATTTAATTGGTAAGAGTTTGTTTCTGAATTGTAATTAATATAACCTCGGGAATTCATACTTTTCCCTTTACAAGAACATTTAATTTCAATGAGTTGTATAGGCACATAAATTTATTTGTTTAAAAAAAAAATAATAAATAAGAATAGGCATAATATGATGATTTTGTTATAAATTTGTTATAGAGTATAACAAATTCATAATAAATTACATTTACTTAACTCATAACTATGTTTTTCCTATAAACTAACATGCTATTTTCTCTAACCAGTTTAACCTTATGTCTCTGTTTGGTAGTACTTCTACGTTCTACATTTGAATATTATTTAATTAGAAAACTAACTAAAGAATAGAAAAAGAATACTGTTAATCAAAACTCATTTCATTAAATCTTGAAAAATTTAAATCTCAATAAAGCTATTATATCAATAATTTATAACTTAAAAATATATTTTTATGTTTTATATTTATTAATGAATTTCAAATTAAGAAAAATTATAGTGGGTTTTATATGTTTTTCTGAAATTCTCATATTTATTTAAGACCCCAGTCTCAAAAAGTACATGACAGGTGTGACATTAGCTAACTAGTAACTATTCCAACAATTTCATATCATTAACTTGATTATTTCATTGATTATTTTTTATTCTTAGTGATTCTAAGCAATTAAGTGGACATACTAACATTTTTGTTATTGAAGTGAAAACTTCTTTAGGCACGTTGGGCACCCCGTATAAGAAAGCATTTGCGAGTGAGGAAAAAAGTATGATCTCGCGACACCGCCAACGCGAGTAGATATATATACAGTGGTATATATATTTGCGAGCGAGGAATAAAGTATGATCTCGCGACACCGCCACCGCGAGTATATGAATTGCTAAATGCAGAAAGGGCACATGTCCAATATTTTACAAAAATCACTTTATTGCATAATTTAATTTAATATTGATAAATACATGGTTTTGTGCAGACAAGGCACATGTCCTATTAAATAGATCCCCGTTAAAAATAATTTAAAATTTCGTTAATTGCAGAAAAGGCACATGTCCTAGACATGTAACCTTTTTGCATCAAAATTATACTTTAGTAATATTATCAAACCTAATCTTCGTGAAATCACTTTATTGTATGACATGTAATATTTTTCTATATATAAATTTAATTTTGTACAGTTGTTTATCAGTAAATAAAGATTATAATGGTGAAAACGTTGCTATAACTACTTATAAAATAAAATGATTATCAGTGAATAAAATAATATTGTACTGGTTGAAATTATCTGTCAATACTTTTGGTATTCATCATTTAAACACGAATAATTTATTTTGTTATGTTTATGAGGCAATAGCAAGAAAAACACCAAATGATGTATGCTCTTTTTTGGCTCACTATATTAATAGTTTTGTTGATGATGATGTTGAGGAATTGCATTTGTTTTGTGACAATTTTATTGTGCTGGGCAAAACAAAAACCACACATTACTCAGAATGATTATGGCTCTAGTTGAAATTAAAAAATTCAAAAAAGTTCAGGTGTTTTTTCCACTAAGAAGACACTCGTTTTTACCATGTGATCGTGACTTTGCATTGATAAAAATCAACTTAACAGAGTGGATCGTCTATACACTTTAGAAGACTATATAGAACTTATTTTAAAATCATTAAGAAATCCAGAAAAATTTTCAGTGTTTCTAGTTGATAAAAGTATGATTTATGACTATCATATTATATACATGTACTCTTCTAGTTTTCACTTCTACCGGCAATCCTCCGACTGGTTAGGTTTTTTTATTTTTTATTTTATTTTTTAATTATTCTTCAAGAAGATAATGGGCCCCACTGAACATGTTCATGTGGAGGCCCATTAGTTTACAATTTGAAATATAAATACATTAAATAGTTCTTATAAATTAAATATTTACAATTTGTAATATACATTTCTCACATACCTAACTTTAATATTAATAATATAAGTAATATATATTTTCTTATCTTTGTTTATATAATATAGTATTATGTAAAAAATTGTGTAGTGAAATAATACAATACAATATGGTAATATAAAAGTAAAATTAACAATAATTACTGAAGTCGTACAACTAATATGATAAATAATGCAGTAACCATATACGTTTGTTATGAGTCCATCTATGTTTGTTCTTGTAATAGCCAAAGTGTAATTTTTTTTTTAAGAATCTTAAAAGAGTTGCTGTGTTTAATTCTATGAAGTATTCAGAGAAATACCAAACTACCAAATTGTTTACCCATAACTTAGTATCTAAATACTTTCAAGCCACAATAAAAACTATAGAATACCTTTGTTTTTCTATTAAGTCAGTTATATGCATATTTATTAAATTCCTATACCATTATTATTACTTTTGTTTTGTTGATAGAGAGAGAGCGAGATATATAAGTATATAACCTATCAAAAAATTACCCTCATCAATTATAAGCTAAAATTGAACTATTATTATTGACCCTCATGTCCCTCCTGTAAATACACCACTGGGTTTATGTACAATAGTATAAATCAAATAATACACATTACTCACTTTTTAACAAAAATGTTATGTTGCCATTCAAATTAAATTAAAATCTTCAAGCATAGTACTGCGTGTAAAGTACATCATAATTTATTTTTCAAATTTTTCTCTATAAGCAATTTCAAGTTTTGAGAAATTGATAATGTTACTTGATTGGTACTTGATTTTTTAATTTTTTTATAGGGACCTTATCTAATTAGTA